TCATGGAGCATGAGAATTTTTTTTAAGACGACAAGTTCATGATTTAGCAAATAGTTTTAATTCTAGAAAACTAGGGGCAATTTAGATATTAACTTTCACTGTGTTTCCATAAGTATTATTTAGAGCCACAGTTTTAAAGATCAAATGACCAAATATAATGAAAATTAACCACAACCCAAAATGGTTTCAGTTTGATCAAAACGTTGCTTGGCTTGGCTTGACGTTGAGTTCTGGGATACCTTGAATATCGTTCTCTTATCAGGATACAGCGACCTGGATTTTTTTCTTGTTCCAAACTTAGAAAATATACCAATGTATGTGTCTTCTTTTTTGCAGTAAATTTTTTACTAAAATCCATTAGTTTTAGGTCTAAACTCCCAATTTATCATCAGGATCTCGACTTAGCCTAAAAATAACTTACAAGAAGAACCTCAGGTTTATTCATCTCGAATTTTGATGAAACTTTGCATGGCGATAGGGTTGATAGTCGTTTAAAATATTATAGGCCTATGAGAAGTCTCTTATTTTTATTGAAATTAGTTGGGCAACTCCAAACTTCCAAATGTGGAGTTGAATAGATAATACCTAATTATAAAAAACTTATACTAGCATAAGGAAGAGAATCCATCAACTATTTGGATATTTTCTGAAAGTACATTATATATTAATTCAAAAAAATTTATATATATATATATATACATATATATATATATATATATATATATATATATATTGTATTAATTCTCTTTAAAAGAGATTGGCCACCATTGCCTCAAACTTTGATTTATTCCAATTTGTAGAGCTCTATTCTAAACGCTTCTTAAAAATTAATTAAAAATTAGTGCAGAATTAATTTCCATTTAATTAGAAAAACACATAAAACTTTTTGTAAATATTTATATATAATACGTATTATATCTATTATTATAATATGTATTTTATTAATTTTACAGATTAATTCGTGGTATTTTCTACAATTTTAGATCTGATCTGATTGACCGCAAACAAACGATTTAAAAATAAAAATTCTTATCGTATTTTTTATGGAAGTATGTATGAGTCAATGGTAAGAATTGCGTCATTAGATATTTATTATACAAGGCAATAGTAATTTTTTTTGCCATCATGTGATGTGCCAAAGTATGAACAATTTTAATAGAAATTGAATGAATAATATACATAGTTATTCAGAAAATAAAAAATGATATATAAAGAAAATTGTTGATGGAGATTCATATATCGTACTGAAGGTGTTTAAATTTAAAAAATTTATAATATACATAACTATCTTTTTGAGAAGGCAACCCAAAAGGTTGGCCTGATACAGATGGTATATTTTTAATTTGATGCAGCAATGTCGGGGATGGTATTTTTACTTGGAAACATATTTAGATTTAAGTAAGAAAGGGTATTACTACTGCTTGATATCAGGCTGTCCGAGGTCAGTGTTGAAGTTGCCAAAGCAAAAAAAAAATTACTTAAGAATTGAAAATGTAATATAGAAAAATTAGATTTATTTATATAAATAGTATTTTTTATATTTTTATAAAATATATGATATTACTAGGAGAAATGCTATTTTTGCTTGGAATCATATTTAGATTTAAATAAGAAAGGGTATCACTACTGCTTGATATAAGGCTGTCCAAGGTCAATGATGGAGTTGCCAAAGCTTAAGTAAAAATTTCTACTTAAGGATTAGAAATTTGATATAGAAAAATTAGATTTAATTATATAAATAGTATTATTTTTATTTTTATATGAAATATGTGATATTACCACCAATTTGGAGTTGGAAAATTTTGAATTAGTTTATGGAAATATTTTAATTAAGATTTCTAGAAATTTTAAAGCAAATGTCCAAGGCGTAGACAACATTAATAAAACACTTAAATCCACAATTTTACCAAATTTTACGACAGAATAAATAAATAAATAAATAAATATTATTTTGCAAACAAAATTATATGGATTTTTTATTTGTTTTTTATCACTTAGGTCCAATTTTTTGGATTTCTATATAGATTTAATAATTCAAGGTAAATAAAATCTCTTATATTCTTCACATATTTTTTTTGTTATTATTATTGTTGTTATTTTCTATAATTTTCGTCATATTATTTATCAAAAACAATAATATAGCGAAAAGTAAATAATATGTAAAATTAAAAGTGTTATCTAAATGCGTCTTTTAATTTATTATTAGCAAAAGTGCCATGGTCAGAAATTAGCGATAATAATGGAAAACAAATAGTAGATAATTAAAATTTTTGTTATGTTTGTTTATTTGAATTTGTATTCATGGTTTTAGAATAATTTATACACTTAATATTTTCCGCACTATTTAAATTAAAAATAAATTTTCACAAGCATTATTTTTTAAAACTTTATTCTAATAATAAAACTTTATTTTATTAATAAAAAATATAAAATCTGTTGAATTTTGAAAATACCTAAGATGTTTCATTAATATATAGTAGAACCGAATGAAAAGAATTGAAAGATAAGTTTTAAAAACTTATAAATTCTTAGTTTTATTTGTGACTATCTTCATGTTAGTTTGTCAGAATAATTAGACCAATGTTGAGAACCACTGATCATGAAATTATATTATTAAAAAAAGTATTATATTAATAAGTTTTCAAATTTGCTTAACAATATTTATTTAAATTAGAATACAACAAAATGAACCAAAAAAGGCATTGAAAATAAATTAATTTTTTTTTTTAAATCTTGGAGTTATTTGTATCTATCTTCATGTTTAATTTTTCAGAATAATATTATTATTTAGAATAAAAAAAATCTTGGGGTTATTTGTATCTATCTTCATGACTCATTTTTTAGAATAATATGGAATCATAGATATAGAATGAGGCCTATGTTGAGAACCACTGCCTAGAATACAAATTACAATAAACTTAGAAATATTAAATTAGCAGAATATTAGAATATTGAATACAATAAATATTATTATACAACAGAATAAATTGAAAATAAAAACATTGAAAGTTAATTTCAATAATTATTAATAATAATTTAACAATTAATAAATATAAATGGTCTTAAACTGATTCATAATTAGCTTTGTGTTAGCTTTTTAGTTAGAATTTTTTTTTTTGAGTTATAATATTAACATCTAACTAAATTTATAATCTTAATTATTATAAAAAAAAATTACATTTTTGAATTCTCAAAAAATATGGTTTTCTTTGACTAATAAAAAGAAAATTTTAAATACAATGGGAGAAAATTTTTAAGTGATATAATCAAAAATATGGTTTATCTCATTATCATAATAATAACAGTATCATATAATAAACCAATATATATTTGAAACTGTAACCAATTTTATGTTAGTCTTGTTAAGAAATTTTTTAAAATGTTGAGAACCACTGTTCAAGAATGCAAACTACTAAAAGGATAATATGAATAATTTTTTCAATTAGCATAATAAGATATTAGTATATTAAACACAATTTTTTTGAACAAACATTAAAAATATGTGTGTGTGTGTGCGGATACAAATTTTCGACGACGATTTCGGGAACACCGATCAACCGATTTGAATAATTCAAAAAACCTACGATTCATATTGATAAGGAGACGTGCTGATTAGTTTTTGGCGAAGGCAGGTCTAGCCGTTCCAAAGATACGGGGCAAAAAGTACCAAAAACGGTAACTCAGTTTTTAAGAGAACGGAACGTCCGATTTTAATAATTCAAATATCATTTCACTTGTATTGATAAGAGGAAGAACTGATTGAATTTTTGGGAAAGCAGGTCCAGCGGTTATGGAATCTCAAATTTTATCAGATATTTTATAGAGATTTTAATAATGTGTAAACATTGTGTGTGATTTTTTTTGGGTTACGTACCAAGATTTTTAATTACGGTATGGGAAGTTTCAGCAATTTGCCTTAAGGCACGGTGCCATTCACGCTACTAGTTAAAACTGTTTTTTGTAACTATCTTTATGTTAGTTCGTAACTATCTTCATGTTAGTTCGTAACTATATTCATGTTAGTTTTGTTAGGAAATTTTTGACTAAGTAGAGAACCATTGTTTAACAATGTAAACTGCAGAAAAGATAATATTAATGAAATTTTTGATTAGATAAGATATTAGACACAAAAAATATTTTTTGATAAACATTAAAAATAAATTAAAAAAAACTAGAATTTTATTATTAAAATATTAAATTACCAGAATATTAGAATATCGAATACAATAAATATTATTGTACAACAAAATACATTTTTTTAAACTTATTTATTTAATAACCTTATAAAAAATTAAGGTTTTAATGGGCTAAATAGCAAGTAGAAAATTTTAAATACAATAGATGAAAGTTTGTAGTAATAAAACATAAAATATGGTTTGTCTAATTATTAATAATTAAAATAACATATAATAAACCAATATATATTTAAAAAGCGTTTTTGGTATGTTAGTTCGTAACTATCTTCATGTTAGTTCGTAACTATGTTCATGTTAGTTCTGTTAGGAAAATTTTGACAATGTTGAGAGCCACTGTCCAAGAAGGTAAACTACAAAACGGATAATATTAATAAATTTTTCGATTAGAATAATAAGATACTAATATCTTATTAAAAATAAATTAAAATTAAAAAAAAATAGAATGTTATTATTCGTAGCTATCTTCGCGTTAGTTTTCCCGCAAAATTTCCGCCGACGTTGACAAGCACTGTTCATGCAAGCTACAAGAAAAAAAACGATTACATTAACAAATTTCCGAATTAGCACTAATGATTAATTCATTCATTCAGAAATCAGAATTAACAATCTCATTCAAAATTGCTCAACATGTGCCCTTTAAGCCTTTTGGAGCCCCACTTTCTACAAAACTCAATTGCAACAACCTTCATATCTATGTCATAGAAACATTCAGTATCTATGCTTTACTCCGAGTGCATGTCACACGACGAAGTGATAAAAGAAATAATGGAAATATAAATAAAATTCGTGATAATGACTGTTTATAAATGATAATAAAACAAAACTATTATACAATTAATTAATTTATTATAATTCATTCATTAATTCCAGTTCATTCATTAAAGTGTCAAGTGTTATGATGCAATAGTCAACGAAAGTGATAGTCCATTCTATATCGATTCATAAATGAAATTATCATAAATATGCGTATTAAAAGTTAACTCCGAATTTCGAAAAATGAGGTGATTCTTGTGAATTATGACAAGTTGGATTTTAATGTCGGATGCACAGAGATTTCTTTGCAAAAATGCAAGATGCAGGATTATAATGGAACTATTAATTAGGATGAAACCTGTGATTGAGGATATTTTTTAAGTGAGAGTATTTTTTTTTTAGTAATGATTGCCGAGAACATGGTTTTATATCAGTAAGTAGTAAAATAACATATATTAAGGTTAAGATATTTGTACAACTTATTTATATAAAAAATATATTGAAGCCTTCTTCAGTTATAATAGTTGAGAAATGTTGTCTTTGTATACTTTCAGAAATTTAGCTTAATTTATTTGTATAGATTTTATATCTGAAGAGATTTAGGCTCAAAATTATCTATTTCAAAGTTACTCTAATTATTAATTTATCAGACTAATTTCTTTCTACTACAATAACTGAAAAATCTGTATATAAGGGTTCCCTTTGCCATAATTTATTTTTACAGATTTGTTCGATTAACAATGTATTTCCCATATCTAATCTGAAAGAAATTTTTGACTCTAAATTATCAATACGATATCTATTATATCCTGTTACAGTTTTGATTAATAATATAATTCTTTATTTGTAGATCGAAAGAGTATAATAAGTGACACAGAGATTTTTTGCATAATTTATTGTTGAAGATTTCTTCAAATAACACTATGAAACCTGGTCACTATATTTTCAAGAAATTTTGGCCCAAATTATTTGTAAAAATTTTAGATCAAGAGAATTATAAATAATTGAGAAAAGAGTCTTCGCAATCTGATTGAACATATGAGGATCATGTAGATCATTTTTTTTATCAATGGCAATAATCCTATTTCATGGACACTTTAAAGAATCATGATACAATTTTATTTTATTTGTTCGATTAACAAGATATTTTTTTCTATACATCATAAATGGATTTTTGGCATAAATTTATGCTCAATCTGTTACTACATTTAATAATATATGTATTTCTTTATTTGTAGATCCAAAAAATTATAACAATTGAAAATTAAAAGTTAGCGTAACTTGTTTTTAAAAGATTCATACAATCAACAAAGAAGTTCTTATAAAAGGAGTACAAGTGTATTTTGAGATTTGATTTAAAAATCATTACTTATAATTTTTCTCTAATTGTACAAATAATAATTGAAAAATCTGACATCCTTTCAGAAAGTTTAGCATGATTCCTTTATAAAGATTGGTTTGATTGACAAAGTTTTTCTTTATAAATGAATTACAAGATATGTTTGATTCAAAATTATCAATTTCTAAGTTATTCTTCAATATACTATTACAACTATAATTAATAACAATTTTGTTTATTTGTAGATCAAAAGCGATATAATAATAATTAAGATAATAATCAGATTGCAACGCTTTTATGTTATATGATCAATCAAGTTTTTATCAATGACAATAATACCTTTTGATGGACACTAAAAAAATTTGGCACAATTCTATTTTAAAATCTTGTTTATACATCTTTTTTTCTATATCAAAAGAGATTGTTGACTTAAAATTATCAGTTTCTAATCATTGTTATTATAAAAATTAATAAAACTGGTCTAAATAACTTAATGTAATTTATTTGTAAAGATTTCTTTGATTAATACAATATTTCTTTATTTGTATTGAATATGACATAATTGAATTTTTAAGATTTGTTCGATTAACAAAATGTTTTCTTTATAAATGGAATAAGAGTTGTTTGACTTGAAATTGTCAATTTATAAAAATTCATAACCCTATGTTAAAGATTTGTCTAATTAATTTATATTACTTATAGTTACTACTTTGATTAACAAAATATTTGTTTTTTGTAGATAAAAGGAGTTATAATAATTCGAAAATCTGATTTTAACGCTCTTATAATATATGGATCAATGTTTTAAGCATTGATAAATACTCTATTTTATTGGTGCTAAATGATCATTTATTTGATCAAGCTTGTATATACTATTCCTACATTGATTGACAACATATTTCTTTATTTGTAGATATAATAATTGAAAAATCTGATCCCTTTCCAGAAGGTTTCAGAATGAAAATTTTATTATAAAGATTTCTTTGATTAACAAAGTTTTTCTTTACATTTAGATCAAGAGAGATGTTTTACTCAAAATTGTCTATTTCTATTATATATTGTTACTGCTTTGATTAACTTCATATTTCTTTATTTGTAGATCAAAAAAGATATGATAATTAATAATTTTGGTTGTAACGATCCTAAGTTTTGTAGATCAAAAGATTTATAATTGAGAAATTTGGTCTCTACATGCTTTCCAAAAATTTGGCATTCGATTTAAAAATAATTATTTATATAAATATCAAAGGCAATTTTTTACTTAGATTTATCGATTTCTAAGTTATTTAATTTTTTTACCATTATTTGATTAACAAGATATTTTCTATTTTTTGTAGATAAATGTTACAATAATCGAGAAATTGTGTCCTTACACACTTGCAATAAATTTGTAAATATTTTTGATCCAGAATTTAATTTTACTAGATTGGTTTGATAAACAAAAGATTTTAAATTTACAATTTATTATTTAACGTATTTCTTTTTTGTAAAAAATATGTTTTGACCTAAAATTATCAATATCTATGTTATTCTCTTATTTATTTATTTATTCATTTAATGCCCAAGGCAATAATACAATATAATTACATTTTAAAGTGTACAAATTATAAACTAAAAATAATATGAGAAAATTTGAGTATTATGAATTCATATATAGATTTGTATATATACAATTATTATTATTAATTGATTAATATTATATACAATTTCAGCTTTGTTTAACAATAATAAATTTTTTTATTTGTTGATCAAAAAAGTAGAATAATAATAATTTTTGAGAATTCTGCTCTCCTTGTATTCTTAAGAAATTTGGCACAATTTGTTTCATTCAATTAACAAAATACTTAAAATGTATTAATTGAAATAAATTGAAAGATTTTTAAATTATTAATTTATAATCTAGATCTCTTATACTACTTTGATTCATAACATATATCTTCATTTATAAAATCAAGTTAATTGAGAAATCTGATTCTTATTCAATCAAGTTTATTGATGTATTTTTTAATTCTATTATACATATATTTTTACTTGTTCGATTAAACATACACATCATTATTCATAGATCAAAATGTCAACATGTAATGAAAATTCAATTACGAGGAGTATAGATTTATTTTATTCATTCAAGTCAAAATTATTCTGGTAATTAATTAATATATTCAAGTAATTCGAAGAAATAATTTGTCAATGAAAGTAATTAGTACTTTGATATACTTATTGATAGATACATATTTAGATACAATTAGTACTTAGATACAATTAATAAGAGAAAATATAATACATTGATAATTTGAAGTCTAAAACTCTTTTTGTTAGAGAAATATTTTGTAATTGAAACTAATAGAAATAATTTCTTATTTATTGTAAATCTTTTGATTTACAAATAAAGAAATATTTTATTAATCGAGGAAAAAATAGTATATATCAATCTATATTTTATTCTTTAGTCTAAAAATATTCTTTAGTGATATTTCAATTTACCAAGAAATCATTAATAGATCTATCTATTAATGATTTACAATATTATCAAGTTATTCTTTTTATTTCAAATTACAATATTAAGTTATTCTTTTATATGTTAATAAAACGATTAGTATTTTTATGATTGTTATAAGACTACAATTGCAATGTATTTTACCCATTTGTCTATTTCTATTCTATCTATTAATAAGATTTTTTTTTTTTTTTGCAGGGACCTTTACTTAATTCCACGAGCATTGATCCGAGTCATTTTCATTATAGTAAATAATATATATTGCATACCCACATATGCAATATGGATGTTTACATTATGGCCAATAAAAATATTATATCCAGACATTTATTGGAGGATAGAAGGATTATTTTTTCATTGGCTGCTCTCGATGGTAGCTATGTGGTCTTACACGGCTGGTTATGAAAGTAAATATAGTAATTGATACTCTAGAACTTCTTGATATACTTATATTAGTATGTAAATTATATTAATAGTTGCTTTGAATATTAGCTTTGAAATTTTTAAGCCACTTATATGCACTTTTAATTATAAATGCTGTATTTTAATATTTGAATATTCTAACCTCACTTCTAGTGTAAATTTGAAATAGAGCTTCTATTTGTTTATTCATAAGTAAATATATTTTGAAAGTATGTATTATTACTACTTAGACAATTCCTTTTCCATTATTTTAGTTGTAGAAGATGGGGATGATATAACACCATGTTTAAACGAAAGAACATTAGTTATAGCGAATCACCAAAGTACTGCGGATGTACCATTATTAATGGCAACTTTCAATGCTAAACCAAATATATTACCTAATTTAATGTGGATTATGGATAGGTTATTTAAATACACTAATTTCGGTATTGTTAGTGTATTGCACGAGGATTTCTTTATTGTTTCTGTAAGTAGAAATTGTAATAATTAATAAAAATCCTATTTACATTTTAAATATTTCCTTTACCAAGGGCAAGAACAACCGTGATGAATCTATTATTGCTCTTCGAAAACATCTTCATGAAAGTTACATTCCAAGGAAAAGATTGTGGATGGTTTTGTTTCCGGAAGGTGGCTTTTTGAGAAAACGAAAAGAAACGAGTCAAAAGTAATTAATTTTTGTATTTGTTAATTATAAAATGATAAAGTAATGATATTAATGTATGATTTGTTTTAGATTTGCTTTAAAAAACAATCTGCCGGTGTTAAATAATGTTTCATTACCAAGAGTGGGAGCTCTGAAAGCAATTATGGATGAAATTGGACCAAAGAAACAGTCGAATAATAATAAATCGAATAATATAGAGCCAGGTAATAAGATTTTATTATTTTTATTATATATATATATATATATATATATATATATATATGTGTGTGTGTGTGTATATATATATATATATATATATAATTAGATTTTTTTGTTTGATGTTGAGACATATCTTGAATAATGATTTTCAGCCAGTCATCGATATACATTGAACATACATTTGAAGTATTTTACAGCCCAATCGTCCATATATATATATATATATATATTGAATGGTAGAGTCTTGGATTTGTGTATATTTTGTAGAGTTTCGAACAAGAATCCAAAAATAATACAAAATAAAAAACTAAAAAAAAAATATATATAGACATAGTATGTGTGTTATCACTCAGCATTTTTTTTTAATATTTATAACAGTATCTAAAAGAATTTTTACAAAGTTTATAAAGATTAAATCAAAAATATATTATAGTGTGGGGATCAAACAGGCTGGTCATGATTGTGAAAAAACAATTGGACTTGTCATTTTATATTTTTCATATTAGTAATATTTTATAATGAATAAAATTTATATTTTTTTTTTATATGATGGGAGTTTATACTTTAATATACATTACTACTCCCACAATAGATTAAAATAAATTAAGCAAGTAAAATAGGGTCAAGGATTTGAAGCAATATTTTTAAATAAATTGATAATAATGTGATAAGAGTCATGCACTAAAAGAGGAGAATTTTGTTTATTAACGCAAAGGGGATTCAAAAAGATAAATACAGATTCAGCAAATTTTTTGAGGTCACCATTCTTTTCCTTATGTAAAATGATAAGATTTTTGGTATTGAAAGTGTGATTTAAATTAATGACATGTTCAGAAAACATTGTCTTAAACTGATTTGGATTTTTAGAATTACAGATAAGAGCAAATCATAATTTTTTTTTTAGTTTTTGTTTTATCATATTTTAATTTGTTCTATTAGATATTCCACTGGGTGCAATAATATATACAGATTGCAGAATAAAATTTAATAAACAAAAAACAATTTATATGCGAAATAAATCGTGTTTTCTGGCGATATTATAAACTTATACTTAATAATAAAAATAAAGCTAGATCAATAGATTTGTTTAAGAGTCTAAAAAATGTTTGGCAACCTTCATGATTATAACTAAATTTAATTAATATTTAAAAAAAAATCTCAAAATAGATTATAATAAATACTTTTATATGAAATTTCTTTAGGCATTTTATAAATCATTGTAATTGATAAAATAGAAAATAAATATATATGCAGAAATGCAAGTACCGATAGCAATATAGTAGGAATATTGTGATGGGAATAGCTCAGTCAGTAACGTGTCCGACTTACACGACAGCGATCCTCTGATCGATTTTTGGCTCATCGATTTTCAATAGTTAATTTGAAATTAAATAGAATTTAAATTGTTGATTTGAGATTGAATAGAAATAGAAGTAAGAAGTAGAATTTAAAAATGGTTTATTTGAAATGAAATAAAATTAGAAGAGAGAAGAAAAACAAGATTAGAGTGGGAATAGTATAGAATATATACAGGGCTAGTGTGTAGAGTATAAAAATGAAAATGTTGGAGGTAAATAAATGCTCTAAGTAAGCGAGGCCATTAAAAAACATTTCTCACTTTAGTTCTTAGATTACTATAGAGAAAAATTACTTTTTTCTAATCGTTATAACTTACTTTTTTTCAGAAAAAAAATCTGTACCGGAATTACGATGGATACTAGATATAACCATTGCCTACCCTGGAGGTGATCCCTTAGATTTAACTACTATATTGCATGGGCTCCGAAAGCCATGTAAAACAGTATTATATTACAGACTTTATCCTAGTCATGAGGTAATTGAATTTTTATTAAAATCTTAAGTAATTTAGTAACTACACCAAAATTTGGTTAAATACATTTTAAATATCAACTTTTATTAGGAAATATAGATCTAAAACATGTTTCAAGTGAAAATATCCATTTTGTGGAATTACTGCATCTTTTTTATTTATTTCTGCTAATTTTAACAATCAGATTACAATACAATCTATAAGTTAAAAGTTATGGTATTGAAAATCAAAATCAAGAAGAAAAAAAATAGAATAAAAGGAGATAAAGAAAATAAATAGATAGAATTAAAATAATAGTAGTTTTAATAAAATACCGCATCTAATACAATAATATATGAGCAATATTAGATCAATTCTAATGATAAATTAATCAGTTCAATTAATGGTTTACCACCTGAAGGCAGAGTAATAAAAAATGTAAATTTATTGAACAATAAGAGTGCTGTATATACTTTAAAATATATAATTTCAACTTTGCCATTCAGTTTATATAATTCTTATAAATATTAGACAATGTTACAGTATATAATCTATTTGAAAACATTTAATAGTCCTCAAACATCTTGTTATGGTACGGAAAGTTCCAGCAATTTGCCTTAAGGCGTGATGCCATATGCCATTAGTTTATATCATATAATGCATTTAATTCTATCATGCCTAATATATTTCACCTAATCTAATTATCTTATTACTAGGTTCCTGATAACCCCGAGCAACAAACCCAGTGGCTTTACGACAGATTTTGTGAAAAGGAAAAGTTACTTGAAAACTTTTACAAAACAGGTTCTTTTACTGCCGGCAGCACAAAACATCGGAAAGAGGTTGTGACACAAGATATGCTAAGATTCATCATCATTCACATATTTTTCATCACATCCACATATTTTCATATGAGGATGTTATACGCTTTATGTGAGTATTGCAGTTATTATATATATTGAATAATTAGAATCTTGTAGCTTGAAATAATTTATTTATTGGTAAACGATTTCTTTTTGGAAAATATTTTGTTTGAGAGTATTTTTAATAATATAAATAATATAAGAATTAGATTATGGAAATTGTATATAGATTAAAACCCACAAAACGCATATTTAATTCAATTAAATGTTTTTGTATGTGATATATATTATGCTGATCGGAATTGTTAATATAGACATGTAAGGATGCACAACTTATTTGTTAATAATTATTTTATTTAGTGATAATTTTAAGTGTCAAGTCGATAAAGGTTTTTTCGTAGAAAGTCCTTAGAAACAGCTCCGATTTTGTACTTTTTTTTACAAAAATATTATTCAAAATCAGAAAAATTTTAGAACAAAGAAATTTTTTTTTGTTTAAACTATATGTGCGTTATTTATGTAAGGAAATAAGTTTTTGGGTGGTTTTCTTTGAAAAAAAAAAATTGTGTATTAATTTTTGTGTTAAGAATAGCTATTATAAGTGCAGTTGTTATTAATAATTATATACATCATAGAATGATCCTGTCTATATATACATATATATATATATATATATATATATATAAATATATATGTATATATATATATATGAATGTATTATATATATATATATATATATATATATGTATATATACATATATATATATATATATATATATCTATATATATATATATGTATATATATATATATATATATATATATATATATGTTGCATGAGTATAAAATCATGAAAATGCATATAAAAGTATAATAAAAATGTAGGTCTTTTTTGGATTTGTTTTTAATATTATACTTTTATATGTATCTTTATATATAATTTTTGGGATATTATAAAAACAAGGTGGTTTTTGTAAAATTTCGACAATTTTATGAATATCTTGCTTTTCTTGAAATTCTGATTTTTTTAAACAAAATATGTGTCCTAAAGCAGTTAATTCTCTAAAATATATCAAACTTTTTATATTCTAGACTAATTAAAACAGTCAAACTGCTTGAATAAGACAAACTTTTTGTATTAAAGTTAATTCTAGACGGAATACGATTAATTTTAATTTTGGCACTTATAAAAATCATTTGATTAATTTAAAAAAGAAACGTTACATGGCGCATATATACATTTGTTCATCCGCACAGAAAATTGTTATGATGTAAATATTTAATTATTAATTGAAATGACATTTATAATTAATATTTTTAACACAAATAATTTTTTTTTTTTGAAGGCAAATTACTTAAAAACATATTTCCTTACATAAATAACATACATATTGTTTAAATAATAAAAAAAATAGTTCCAATATTTGAAGCACCCTTGTGTCAATGGATCCTTTGAGGTTATGTTTCATAGATGTCAAATATTTTATGTAATTGAATAATTTTTGTAATGTGGAAATTATTAGGATTAATTAAGAATAGAGAATCGTCTCTAATAAGTAATATATTAAAAATCCAATATCCAATAATTTTATACGTTCCTTGGCCTCCACAAACAAAATTTGTTGGAAATGTCAGAAAAGTTGTTCTTACACAAATCAAATGTTTTGTGAACATTGTAAAACATTAAGAGAACCTGACAAAAGTGATAATTATTTTAATATCTTAGATTTAGAAAAGAAGTACACAATAGATAAAGAAAGTCTGTCCCAAAAGTTTAAAAGTTTACAAAAATTATTACACCCCGATAAGTTTACAAATAGATCAGAAAAAGAACAAGAACTGTCTCTGGAATGGAGTTCTCGAGTCAACAAAGCTTATTCTACAATGAATCACCCTATAGATCGAGCAGAGTATTTACTTCAAGATGTCGGTGTAAGTCTTTCGGAAGAGAGTGAATCTAAAGACACAGAGTTCTTAATGGAAATGATGGAACGCAATGAAGAGATAGCAGAAATATCTACGGCTAAACAGGCTGCAGAATCTTTAAAAAAGATTCAAGCAACTGTTCAAGAATTGGGGCTTGAATTAGGGAAATACATTGAGAGTAAAGATTATGAAAATGCTATAAAAATATTTGCTCGCATGAAATATTTTTATAGTGTGGAAAATAATTTAAGAACTAAAGCTGCTAGTTTAACAGGGACAATTGAATCATAATAAAAAAATAAGATAATTAGAAATAAAAGGAATAAATTGGAGCTATTTCTGAGGGCTTTTTAAGTTCATGTCTTTATTGACTTGGTTATAATGATTTAGTATTAATATAATGCAACTGAATCAAGGTTTAAATAAATAATCTTGTCTGTATTTTTTTGGTATTTGTTTATTGCAGTAGAAAATGACTATCAGATATCATTCTTTGTTAAATACTACTTAAATGAAAGAAAGAAACTTAATAAAAGAAAGAAAACAGCATTTTTCTGTGCAATTTACATCTACCAATTTTACAGTAAGTGCTTTGCCAAGTATTCTTGTAGGACATCGATTTATTTATCTAATACCTGTTTAAATTATGAAAGTAATATTAAAATATTTTAAAATACAAAAATGAAAGTAATATTATAATATTTTAAAATACAAAATTGCTCTCAGGTTTATAATATTGTAGAAGTCCACCATATAAGTAGATTTTGATTTAATTTTAATTAATACAAGTGCACAGAACTTTTGAAAAGTATTCAGGCTTTTCAAGTCTCATTTTTGGATTTAATTTGCTATTATGAAAATAATATGCAGACATAGATGTGTGCAAATATAAAATAGTTGAAATGGATAAATGTATTTTGAAATACTTGCATTTGTGTTGTGTGATAATAATTATCATAGCTAAAGAATTGGCGGCTATTAACATAGATATAGATTTTTGTAGTTGATGAAATATTTACAAAGTTTGAAACAGTAGTTCAAATACAATTAGCTCTAGTGACAAGAATTCAACACAATTTAGTTTTTATTTAATGCTTAGTGTGTTCATAATGATTTCTTTAGACAGAATATTCTACAGTCCTTTCTATTAGCCGCCAAATCTCTTGCTCAACTTTGTTCACATATATTTTCACATAACTATTAAAGCACACACCTAAAAATTAATTTATAGCACATAACATGTTCAAAACGAATTAGTTTTAGATATATTTAAGAGCATTTCTAAAATCTGTATATAAGGGTTTGTTATTACTATTAAAATATTTATTTGTCAAAAACACCATAAATGCTACTAGTGTAAGTACGAATGATTTTGCACAACTGTTTTAATTAATGCTTTAAAGTTCAAATTATTGTTATTATTTATTTTGGTGTTACAAAAGTGTTTGTAACTCTTTAATGATTAAATGAAATATAAAACACAACTTCAAATTTGAATTTGAATTTCGTAACCGGTTTGATCGAATGAAGTAAGCAGTAGTTCTAACTTCAGATCAGTTTTTAAGTTTTTTTAAAATGGCCGCAATAGCTGTCATTTTAAATAAAGTTGTTCAACAGTTATTTTGTCTGAAATAACTTTCAAATATTTTATTTGAAGATGTTTATTAATTATTAGTTATAATTACTAGTTTCTTAATTGTGAGTGATATTGTGAAAAATGCTGTTGATGATTATGGTATGTACTGTTTTCGTTGTTTATATTTAGGAAGAATATTTCATGCCATGGTTATTTATATTTTGGATAATATCAGATAATGAATAATAACACATTATTTAAGTAAATTATTCTTAACTTAAGATGTTAGATATTTTACTTAATGCCAATATATAAATAACACATGTAACAGAAATTAACAGACAAATGACATCAGTTATTTTTACAAATGATTATATATATATATATATATATATATATATATGTATATTATTGTCAATATATAATAATCGAGATTGTATAAAATGTTTGTTCCTTATTAAATTCTTTATTATGATTAATTTACCCTCGAGATAACTTCTAACAAATGAAAATTTCACTTATGATCATAAATTAATTTATTTCTCTATGTTACATTACACATAAACAAATATCTGTTATCTAATAATTACATGATTTAAATATGTTAGGTATTAAAAATTAAATTATGAGATTTATAAAAGTCTAGGTTTAATAACAAGAACATCTGTGTTCTGGACATTTCGATGGATATTTGATACAGAGGTCTTGGCAATACACATCTGCCCCTTCACGGTCTTTTAGATCTCCTATTGCATCACAAGTTTGCCTGGGAAATAATCGAAAAATACATTAATAATTAATAATGAAATGTAAATGGCTTTAGTAAGCTTGATGGAATAATAATTATTGTTCTTTTTTTGGGGGCTTACTCTTGGCCTTGTGATAAGCACTTGGCACTGCAACAGCAATGTTCTAAGTTCTATGATTTCATGTAGGTTGCATTCTGTATCATTTTTTATAGATTATTTTTCTTTGTTTTAGAAGAACAATCAAAATGTTATATTCTGTGAGTTATCATGATGCTATTCGAACAACTAAATTCTATTTATACTTATTTTGGCTGATTTTTTCTACTTACGGACAATGACATATGACTTGTGGACAATTCGGTGGATAACTAAGGCAGTTTGTTTGGCACCATTGATCCATGTAAGGTGATTTTTTGAACAGACCTTTGGCTAGACATACTTGATCTCTTACTACGACTGGATAAACATTTTCAGGCTCCCTGAAATCAAAATGAAAAAGATAATTTTTAAGAGTTTTAAGCACAAATTCAATAGTATTTATAAACTTATGGTAATAGATAATGCAATTTATATTGATAGTATTATCAATAGTGTTACAAATTTTAATACTATTTTAATGTAATTGCATGTATACTATCAATATTTATCATACTATTAATATTGTTTTTGCAACAGCGTGGTTTTAAAACCTCCATTTAGTGAAAGTATCTTAAACTATTCATTATTATTATTTCCTTATATTTTTATCAACTTTTTGAATCGGGTAAACAATTGATTCAAAGAATTCAGATTAATAAAGGGGCACATCCAGTGTGAAATTTTCAAAAAAATCGAATTTTCAATTTTTCCACATTTCGATAGGAGGTTAAACCTTTAAAAATAACATACCAAAATTTTAAATCGATATTCTAAATAGTTTTTGAGTCACAGCCATTTAAAGAGTATATATATATATATATATATATATATATATATAGTATATAGTATAACAATCATTTTATCTTTAAACGCGTTTTTCTCGAAACAGCATTTTCCGAATTTGCAGCATCGATTGCTCAAAAACAAATGATCCGATCACTATCATTTTTTTTACATGTTCTGTATATAGTTCTCCGTAAAATGAACTATCGGTTTTTTGATCGGATCAAAAATCGAATTTTGACAGTCCAAAAACGACCAAACTTTTGGGTAGAATTTGACTTTTTTTTTATAAAAACGCCGTTATTTTGTCATTTTTTGAATTTTTTCTTTATCGTAGTTCATTTTACAGACAATATTATCTAGTTTAACGAGATTTTTTTTTTTTATTTCATTCACGTAGAAGGCCGGAACCACTGCAGCAGTTAAGGGCCTCTCGCGCCGTTGGAGATCGACGATAACTTAAAAAATAGTTAATTTTTTTCTTCAAAAATTTTACTATCTATTCTTAAAACATGTATAAATATATTTCTAAAATTTTGAAATAATTGATAAAGTAGTTTTTTTCAATATAAATTTCCAAAAATTACCTTTTTTTAGGCGGTTACACTAGTTGTGCCCCTTAACCAATTTTAGTAGGTGCCACCAAATGAACGATAATGTTTGTCCCTTAGAACCATATACTAAGTCGTCCCTTAGTGCCGGACAGTAAACATATTAATATTCCTTGTGAGAATTTACGTAATTTATTTATTCTAATTATTTAATTTTGTTCTGTATGAGTGCTAACGGTCACTACATACCCCCATTTTTCGTATTTTTTAGTCATAGAATGAAAAGCTTATGAATGCACGAGCTGAGAGCATCGGTGTGACCCAGCCAAAAGGGTGGATAAATAGTGACTTTTCTTGCAATATCTAACAATAAGAATATTCGTCAAAGACATTGCAGAGTGTGGATATGGCTACCTATGTGTCCAATACTGGTTATTTTGAAATGTTCGGTACTAGGTGCCACTGTTCAAAATCATATTTTTTGATAGCAAAGTTTGATTGATAGTATAGATTATTTTTAGCAAAGATTGCGGTTTTGTTAATTTAGTTTGATTTCTAACTTTGTTATCTAACATAAATCATAATTTAACCTTACGTGTCCGCCACTAGAGGACTTTTCCCTATGCTTTGGCGAGCAAATAGTAATTTTGAAGAGAATGTATACGTAAGTTCATGCCTATTGCCTGAAGTTCATTTTCCTTTACCCATCTACTTCATTTTCCCATTACCTGACATCCTGGTAGTACAACAAATAAGGATGATCATCCAAACCAGTAGGTTTGACCACCTCTCTGGTCCACTCGGCATCTTTGTCTTCGTACAGCAACGACTGCAACAGGGCATGGCTGTAATTCGATGTCGGTCCAAGTACTCCGGTGACTCCCACGATGTAGTTACTGGTCAGTGCTTGTTGATTCAGGAATTGAGCCAGGCGATTGTAGAGCAGGGAGGTTGGAGGCCTGCCGCCTCCTGCGTTGGAGACTATGGAAACGTCGGCGCAGTTTCTGAAGGTTTCTGCTTTGCCGCAACCGACGGCTTCGGTGCCGTTGGCGCATTGGCCCCACATGTTACCTGGATAAAGGAGAAGAAATGATATTTGTATATTAGGGTGGAACTTAATATGGACATTTTCGAATTTTATTGCTCCCAGGGGCTTAAATGCTTCCAAGTTGATAAAAAATAATTCTCTAGAAGTTTTAGCTCTTAATATTAACTTTTAGATAGTGCACAATTCAATTAAAGCTTCGTATGGAAATAGCATGGAAAAAATTTGGAAAATTTTTAAAATGTTTTTTTTTATGTATAGCTTAGCGACAAATGAATTAAAAGTGACAATTCGTAACATCTTTTATTGAAAATTCGACGCTCTGCAAAACATGTTTTTCATAATTTATTTTGTAGAGCGTCAAATTTTGAATAAAACTCATTCATTTGTTCGCTAAGTTATATCTAAAAAACATTTGTAAAATTTTTGAATATATATATAATATATATATATATATACTATATATACTAGCTGGTCCGGCAAACGTTATTTTACAATGTAAATTATTTATATAAAATTTTAATAGTTGCAAAAAGACTGTGTAAAACGCCAAAACTGTCCGTACAAGAAGTTTGTTTTTCATGAGAAAATCCGATTTGCTAATTTTGTGTTTTCTCGACGTTTCAAGTCATTCTGAGTCGAATGAGACCTAATTCTAAAGATTATGCTTATGTATTTGTACGTATGTGTTTTCTCAAAAACGACTGGACGGTCTCAAAATTTTTGAAGCCATTTGATGTAACTCGATGAGGACTAGGCTAGCGTATATCAATTTTGTGCGACGATCAGCCGAGCCGTTTCTTAGTAATTAAGAGAAAAGTGGAACATTTTCGTCCGTTTTTTAGCCAAAATTCTGGCTCGATTTTAAACATTCAAAAGCTATTCGAAAGATATTATTATAAAGATCGGCCGAGCCGTTTCTTCGTAAATAACTGTTGAAAAAATGTTTTTGATGTAATTTTTTATGTTGGTCCCAAAGAACATACTAAAATTTTACGGTCATTTAAATATTTTGCCAACGTTTTTCTCAAGAAATCTTGAACCGATTTTGAAAATTTATTTTCCATTTAGGGAAAATAAAAATAATTTGGGAACTTGCTTGGCAATTAGTTTTTAGAAAATATCAGCCGTATATTCCCTTCAGTGATTTGTACTGATCGCCCTTGATAAAATGCTTTTTCACAATAAAATACATTTATTGAATAAAATACATAAATTACTTAAATAAAGTTCATTTTCAAAATACAAAGTAAAATGAAATGAAATTTAATTAATATTCTTTCATATATTGTTAGTTTGAAAAACATCAATTTGCAATTGTATTGATTAGTTTTTAGTTAAAAATGGAAACTTTATTTTCCCAATAAATAGTTAAAATTGCAGCTAAATAGCTCAATCTTAATTCTTATTTCTTAAGTCGATTATTTGCGTATCTAATTTCTAATTTATATCTAATTCATCTAATTTTATATCGAGAACTCATGCAACTTACTTTAGGGGAAAAGTTTAATTTTTTTTTGTCGATTATTAATAACTTATTTAAAACACATCTGATATTTAAAATCTGACATAGTTATCCAAAAAACTTCTGATGGAGACTGCCTGTTAAAATTAAGATCTTTTTTTTTAAAAAAAATACGCTACCAATTTTATTAAGAAATCTGATACAATAATCAACATAAGTATAGAATGCAGTATTATGATATTTTGTCGGAATGCTAAATATGATTTATAATTCACGAAGCAAAAATTATGGTATTCATTCTGTTCCAATAAGTAATGAAGATTTTTTCAACAGCAATTTAACCAGTCCTACGACTGTTGCACTGTCTGTTTTAAATGTCATGGTTTTTATACATGACAACCCAAAAGGTTGTACCTTCTCTATGTGATAAATTTATTATTATAATTTCTGTAATACTGGTGATTTTTCTATTGATGAAGCAATGATGGGTAAGAACTATTTTGGCAACTTATTTCTATAAATCAAAAAAACAGATATCACTTCTGTTTGATATCAGGCTGTCTCATGGAACTTCACAATTTAGTTTTATAATATATAATTAAATTCACCTGTGTGATAAGTCCATTGCAAAACACAATGGGTACACGTGAGGTCCTTTGGCAAGGAGACATGATACTTGAACACATCCTTCTTATTAGAATCTCGGGGTATCACAAAATGTTTCTTGGTACCGGCAACGTATAAAGGATAACTGGAAAAAATATTGACTTTATGAAAATATTTCATATCTTGATTGGACATTGTATTTACGAATAAGTATTAAACACAACTACTTAGTCAATAAGAGAGAAATAAGAATCATTAGTTGAAGTATTTATGTAATCCATAAAAGGTTGTAATGACCACAATTACTTCAATTGATTTTCATAATTCGTAAATGGAATTTTTTAAATCATCTTTTTGAATGAGAAGTCTGTTTTTTTTGTTCTGAATGAGTACATGTTTTCTTGATATTTTAAGTCATTCGGAATCGTTTGAAACCAAAATTTAAAAAGTATGTGTGTGTAAGGTCCTAGAGCAAACTGGTATACTCATATTGAATAATTTACCTTAAGGTAAAATGCCAGTTAACCTAGTTATAATTTATTTTCAAATTTTACTCACCCGTCCAGACATTCCTGGGTGGCTTCAATTTTATGATGATTCGTCGGACACAATTTCAAAACAAAAGTGCCCCAATGGTTGGCTGTTAGTTCCACTTCGATTTCGATTTTTTGGCCCATCACGTATCTAGAATTTGAATATTTCTATTCTATATACAATTGCTTTATTATGAAGCCGAATTTCATGAATTTTACCTTCTAGCAATAACTCCTCTAGCAAATTCTCCACCAGCTTCATGAGGTCTCGGCTTTTCAACATGGTAAGGGTCTCCACATAAACCACATTTGCCTTCGTTTTTGTCCCACTGCACTGTGAAATAGTCATAGATTATCAATAGAACAAATTTATTATGTTTAAATAAAAAAAGTTAAATGAATTACAAATTGTCTATATTGCATGAAGAAACTTATAAGGCAATTCTGCCCAAACAGATCCCATAACAGCATTGTCATGGCAACGCTTGTTTTAAGTCTGTTAAAGCTTGTTTAAGTTTTGGTAGTGTAATTATTACATTCTTTCTTGCTTGTTTATATATAAAATACGCCTAATCTGATCGCATAGCAAATAGGTAGACATTTTCACAGTTTTCACTACCAAGAAACAAACATAATGCAGCGTTGCTATGACAACGCTATGCAATGTGGCAGAATTGCTGCATTAGTACTTGTTTTGTAAATAAGTTAGAGGTGGCAATTAGATATTAACTTATTAGTTATTCTTTCTAGTTGTGATCATATTTTTCTATTTCAAATTAGTTTTTATTTTCATTGTAATTTCATAAACTAGCTGTAAGTGGAATTCTGTCTTGAGGCAATTATGGCATCGTGCCTTAAGGCAAACTGCTGGAACTTCCCGTACCGTAACGAAATGTTCGAGGAATACTGAATGTTTTCAAATAGATTATTATAAATATTGTAACATTGTCTAATATTTATGAGAATTATATAAACTGAATTGCAGAGTTGAAATTATTTGTAAAGTATATTAGAACTATAGTCAGAATTAAAAATAAAATCTGAAATATTTTCGATATACAAAAAACTAAAAAAAAAAAAAAAAAATTGTAACAACATTTTTTTTTCCAAAATCAATTATTTTGTTAAGACAAGCAGAAAGTTCATTTAAATCGGACGCTTAGTTCTCTCAAAAACTGCCATTTTTTGTACATTTAGCTCCGTAGTTTCGAAATGGCTGGGCCTGCCTTTGCCAAAAACTAATAAGCACTTCTCCCAATCATTACTAATTGAATGTTTTTTAGATCATTCAAATCGGATACTCCGTTATCTCAAAAATTCGATTTCTATTTTCTGCACTCTTTGCTCCGTATCTCCGAAACGGCTGGACCAGCCTTTGCCAAAAACTAATCAGCTCTTTTCCTCATCAATATGAATCGAATGTTTTTTGAACCATCCAAATCGGTTGATCCGTGCGCCCTAAAACGTGACTGGAAATTTGTATCCATACATACATACACACACACACATACACACACACACACACACACACACACATCCATTTTTTCTGAGGTATGCCAAAACGTTCAGAAACCTTCAAAACGTCGAGAAATGTTAAAATTTTCAATTCCGATTTTCGGCCCATTACAATAACTTACCCTACGGGAAGTTAATAATCTTCCTTAATCAACTTGCTGCTGATGAAATGAATGAGTTTTTGAAGATTTCCTTAGTGCGAAACCTTGATCGTAGGTACTATTATATCAAGTCAGTTGAACATTTTGAATTAATCTTTTTGACTTAAAATTTTGCTCTTGGAGGTTATTTTTACTTGCAAAAATATTTAGACTTAGTGAAAACTGATTTCACATGGAAAAGAAATCTTGTGGTTGCAAGACTAACGCACTTACTACAGAACCAAGGGCAAGCTCTTTATACATATTATATATAACCTATTATATACTATACTACGCAAGTATTATTTTACCTGCATGGCCTCCACAAAATAATTGGTGGAGACTATTTATAATTAAAAAATATTTAGTAATTATATATTTAGTAATTATTATATAGTAATATTATATTGAGTATTTAGTTAGTAAAAACTGATTTCACATGGAAGAGAATGGGAACCCGGAAACTTATGGTTGCAAGACCAAAGCACTTACCTCAGAACCACGGGCAAGCTCTTTATATACGTTGTCATATTGTATTATTTTACCTGCGTGGTCTCCACAATATAGTTAGTGGAGACTATTTTCACTTGAAAAAATATTTAGACCTGGTGAAAACTGATTTCACACGGAAGAGAATGGGAGCCTGGAATCTTGTGGTTGCAAGACTAAAGCACTTGCTACAGAACCATGGGCAAGCTTTTTATTTATGTTGTCATATTGTATTATTTTACCTGCGTAGCCTCCACAAAATAGTTCGTTGTCATTGTAATTGACCGGATTTGGATATCCAAACCTCCACATTGCATTTCTGGCTGGAGGATCCATCAGTCTGCCATGTGATAGACATTCTTTTGTTAACATCTAAAAGAAAGGAAAAGATTATTAATGCATATATAATTAATATAAATGTCAAATGTAAATATTTTAAAGTATTTTCATGCAAAATGGTATATTTTATTCAAGTTCTTTGAATCAAGTTTGGATCATCAATTTTTTTTATTTGGCAATGATTTTTTTATTTGGTAGATGATCAATCTATACATGGTATCAGAATTTAAAGACTTTCTAGATAATCTCTTTAATTAAGTTGAAGAAATAAAGTTGAACTTACTTGTAATATAATATATATAGGTACAATTGCTCTCCTCCAATCCTTGTAGAAATTACCAGTCATCTGGAAAAGAAATTGTTTTTGAAGCATTTTTAGTAATTTTTAATTGAAACCAAGGTGAAGAATTTCTTTGTATTTTACTCTTTGATCAAATATCAAGGCGCATGACATCGTGCCTTAAGGCAAATTGCTGGAACTTCCCGTACCGTAATTAAACATTCGAAGAATAAAAACAATCAGTCAACAAAAATGCCTATGAATAAATATTATGAAAACTAGAATTTTTATTATTTGTTCCTATGTTGCATTAGACGACGTTGTTTATATATGTTTGAATGAAATATATATAAACAAATTCTAATTAAGCGGGGATCCGAACCCGATCAGTTTTGACTTTCTTATCTAGTAACGCTAACGAAAATTGTAGTGACGCGCCAACCAACTCAGCTACAACGACATGCAGCGGATGTCCAGGATCTAATCGGAATTTCTGCACTTTTTGCTCTGTCTCTTTGAAACGGCTGGACCTGCTTATACCAAAAACTAATGAGTACGTCTCCATATCAATACGAATCGAATGTTTTTTGAATTATTCAAATCGGTTGATCGGTGTTCCCAAAATCATCGAAGAAAATTTGTATCCGCACACACACATATACATCCATTTTTTCTAAGGTATGCCAACATGTTCAGAAACCTTTGAAACGTGAATATATATAAAATTTTCCATTTTCGATTTTTTTGCCATTACTATAACTTATATATTACAGGAAGTTAATTAATATATAATAAAATAGCAAATGTATAAAATTTAAAAGATTTTGTTTTGAAAACATGGAATCATATCGCACTTAATATAATGATTGGGTGAATGAATAAATTGATATTTAAGAATCTTATACTATATTAGAATTTTGTTGTAAGTCGGAAGTTGTAATAATTATTTAGATTCAATTTTTTTATGCTTCGATTTTTTTTTTGTTTTGGATTATTTTAGAGAACAGTTTATTCTAATCAACAAAAGCTGACTGGGTGTAATAATTAAGAACTTGGTCTAGCACAATTTGGACTGATGTTCGGCCAGCGCGATATTAAGCAGTATTATATCAAGCTTGGAGTTAAAGATCTCAAATTTAATTTTAAGTAAAAAATTTTCTTTCCTGGGCATTGCTGCAATGTATACACATACTTATAGACATGTAGTTCTGATAAACATATTTTAATGATTTTCTAAATTTTGCAAAAATTATAAAAATATTAATATAACTTCAGTTACATATATGAATTTATTAATTTGCATGTTACGATTCATATGACGGTTTTTTAATTATAAATTTGACTTTGTCCGCTAATTCGGCAGAGGTGTAAATGAATGTTATTTTCGGTCAATAATCTCAATTCTAATATGGTATAAGACAGTTATATCGAATTGAACTTGTCACATACGAATTTATATGTATAATAGTAGGCACTTGACCAGAACTGACTTTTGATTCAGAATCACCAATAACTTTAAGGAATTTTGATCAGGTCAAAAAATATATGGTTTATCTATTCAGTTCAGTTCAGAAAATCAGAAATTAATACTGATATATGTTAGGTAGGTTCTTTGTCTGATGAGTTTATATTAGATATCTCTAATATTACAGCATTGTTCTGAAAGGCTATTTGCACTTGATATCATATTTGGAATATATAATCTCTATTGAAAATCTGATATCACTGCTGTTTGAGATTAAGGTGGTCTGGTTCCTAAACCACGTTTATAACATATAGACAGGTGTGTGTGTGTTTGGATACAAAATTTCATTCAATATTTTCTGGACATGAAATTACCGATTTGAATAATTCAATTTCGACTCCTATTGATAAAGAGACGTGCTGATGCTGATTCTAATTACTCTAATCTGAATCGATTGGATAAAGCTGGTTCTACTAATTTGAAATTTGTTAATTTGGTGAATCAATGAAGAATTAAGCAATTGGTAGGGTTTGTGCAAGAGAAAAAAACAATCCTTCCCACATGTATTCATTATTATTTAGTATTTTTTGCGATTGCAAAAATCTCGTCCGATTGAATCGGTACAATCTCGTTTGTACCGTTGGAACGCGCGTTGAAGTGACTTCATATGATATAAAAGCGTGTAATTTATTGGCGATAGAAAAAAATCGATAACATCAATAAAAAAGCAAAAAGCAGAAAAAGAGACCAGATTAAGACAGAAACACGCTAAATGGATCAATAAATTATCGATACTTCGATAACGGAAGGATGAGATCACAACCTGTTTGTTTTTAATCCGAACGGAATGGAATTGGTACACTTTTTCTTGCGTGGGATTTAAGACGTTTAAATGTGTAACTTTGGTGACACCCTTTTTTGTTGGACTTAGAATTTACATTTCACGTAATTTATTTTTAAAGTATCCAAGTTTTATATATTATTAACTTTCCGTCGGGTAAGTTATTGCAATTATCCGAAAAATTGAAAATTTTCAAGTTTTGAAGGTTTCTGCACTTTTTACCGTTTACAACGACACTAAAATCATTCAAATTTTCCCAGACAATTTAAAACTATGCTTGCGGACCACATCAATACTTTAAAACACTTTCTTAACCTACTACAATTTATTTAAACGAAAAATTATAGCAGGATCTTTTTTCACTATTTATAACAACAGAACAATAAATAAGCGAAATGAAATTCTTATTGATAAGGTGATGTGCTGATTAGTTTTTGGCAGAGGAAGTACCAGCCGTTTCGGAGATATGGAGCTAAATGCAAAAATGCAATTGCCAAGAATAGCAGTTTTTGAGAGAACAAAGCGTCGGGTTTGGATGATTCAAAAAGTTTTACGTCGATAAAATAATAGAAAGAACTAATTTAAAAACAAAATAGTATTAACTTCCCGTAGGGTAAGTTATTGTAATGGGCCGAAAATCGGAATTGAAAATTTTTACATTTCTCGACGTTTTGAAGGTTTCTGAACGTTTTGGCATACCTCAGAAAAAATGGATGTGTGTGTGTGTATGTATGTATGTATGGAATCAAATTTTCGCCAACGTTTTCGGGCGTACGGATCAACCGATTTGAATGGTTTAAAAAACATTCGATTCCTATTGATAAGGAGATGTGCTGATTAGTTTTTGGTAGAGGGAGGTCCAGCAGGTACGGAGATAACGAGCAAAGAGTGCAGAAAATAGAAATCTAGTTTTTGTGAGAACGGAGCATCCGATTTGAATGATCTAAAACACATTCAATTAGTAATGATAGGGAGAAGGGGTTATTAGTTTTTCGCAAAGGTAGGCCCAGCCATTTCGGAGATACAGAGCTAAATGTACAAAAAATGGCAGTTTTTGAGAAAACTAAGCGTCAGATTTAATTGATTCAAAGAACTTTCTGCTTGTTTTAACCAAATAATTGATTTTGGAAAAAAAAATAGTCTCAATTTTTTTTTTTTTTTTTTTTAATTTTTTGTATATCGAAAATAATAATTCAGATTTTATTTTTAATTCTGACTATAGTTTTAATATACTTTAAACAAATAATTTCAACTCTGCAATTCAGTTTATATAATTCTTATAAATATTAGACAATGTTACAATATTTATAATGATCTATTTGAAAACATTCAATATTCCTCGAACATTTCGTTACGGTACGGGAAGTTCCAGCAATTTGCCTTAAGGCACGATGCCACCCACCCCACTAGTTTTATACATAAATAAACGAATTGATCAATATTTTTGAAACATACCACTCACAAAATATTAAATTTTATATTGAAATAAAAAAATTATAATATTTGTTTATAAACTTTTTCAGATTATCTTTTGTTAAGCCAGAAGATTAAATTTACTTTAAAATTAAAATCTAGTCTTGTATTCTTAATATTATTCAATAATTTTACCTTGTAGTTATCGAATTCATTAAAACTATTATTACTTCATTATTTAAATGTTTAATAATAGTAATAATGCATGTTTAAAATATAAATGTTATTGTATTTTTTTGTAAATTGTTATGTTCTCAAATTTATAACATTTATTCTAAAACTTGCATTTTAATTATACTTTATAATATGTTTCACTTTTAATACTAATGGGTTAATTAGATAAAACCAAAAAAAAATTGGATATAATTGCTGTACAATTAAAATTTGTAGGGGGCACTGAAACAAATGTTAACTATGGTAGATATATATATTATATATATATATATATATATATATATATATATATACATATATATATATATATATATATATATAAGTCAATCCCATATATGAATTTTAAAATATTCCAATTTAAATATTGGATGACTAGTCGATGATGATGATGAGTAAAAGTTCAGTCAACCTAAGAAGGTCGTTTGGTTTCTGTGTTTGATCCCGTTTTCTACAAAACTACAAATCCCAGTTTCGTTTGTTTTTATTATTACTAATTATCATCACAATAATATATATTTAGTCTGGGTGCAATGGAATAATTGTAGTAATGGACACAGGGCCGAATTGGGATAATTGTTATGGACTTCTGAAAACATGAGTTGCACCCAAATATTAATAATTGATTAACCTATGTAATTTGATGTTCTTAGTTTATGCTACGTATTTTTTTACATTTTTCAATGATTTTTTTATACATACTATAGCGAAAAAATAAGATAAAAGACCAAAGAAAGTCTTGAGTTCAAATTCTAAAAAAGTCTTAAGTTCAACGTTTAGCTAAAAAATGATCTATTTTTCTAGTTTTTTACAGTTTTACATACAACACTTTTATACATAAACACGTTTTTTTGGTGTTTGTCAAACATTTGCAACCTGGTCCTTTTCACCCTATTAAATTTGGAAGACAAAGGGGCAAAGAGGTCCAATTTATTATTTTAATTTTGAAGAATAATAGCTACATTATTAAACAAATGCAAAATATAAATTTTATGGGTATATTTTTTTTAGAGAGATAATACTGTATATGACCTTGATCTGGTATTTCGTCAGAAATATTTATCAGCTGAGTAGGAATAACTATTTAATTAAGT